ACACTCAAGTATTGCTATAATGTCGTCTTCCTATTCCACATTTTCTGGTTATCAAGGTTTAAATTTTATTATTTCTTCTAATTAAAAGTCCCTTGTATTGAAATAGGACTAGGGAGTAAAATTCCTAATTTTGAAAGTTTTAAAAATTACCATTTGAATAGTTTCAGCATCTGGTAGGACAATCTTTTCAGTTGTCTCAGTTTTGGACAATTTATCCCGACTAAATTTAGTTATTCCATACTAAACACAAGATTTATATATATAATAAAGCTCTTCGATGATGATATATACATATATACATCTATACATATATATGTACATGTTAGCTATTGCTGGCCAAACGACTGGACTGAAACTTAAGGGTACCATAGGGTAAAAAATTCGATATTTTTTCTATAAAAACGAATATTTTTTTATCTGATTTTTTAACAAAAATTCCACGGGCAAAGCTAGTTAAATCATAAAGAGATGTTTGTGTATTTGCGGAATATTGTGGGACATTGACTTCTACAAGAAAACTATAAAAACAACGTAAATATAAGAATTTAAAATATTTAGAAAATTAGACTCTTATAGACGTTGTATCTGTACATGGAAACATATATGTTAGATAAACACATGGCCCATGGGATAAGAAAGTGGTCAGCCAGGACTATAAAAACAAAATATGTAAAATAAGTCTAGAACATTTTCTATTGCTTATTAAGATTGATTATTGCTGACCAATGTGTTTCATGTTTGAAATTTTTCAGCTTACAGATATATAAAATATATACTGATGATGATGACACTGATGAATAAATAAATGCATGAAGCAATTTGTTTATCAATAAAATGTTATAAGAAGATAATTTAATATATAAATTTAGACCGACACAGAGTCTTTTAGTCCTCATTAAAGTGTTATTCATTAAATAGAACTTTACAACCTACCATAGCCATATTAAATGCAGCCCCAGACCCATGAGTGGTGGTAACCTCCTGTACAAATATATCTTTAAATCAAATCAACAAAAAACGGAAATTATTAAAAGATAAAAAATAACAAAATGCATTTAAACTTTCCAGCATGTTTTACATCAAGATTTTATTAAAAGATTAAATGGAATTTGACGCTAAACTTTTAATATTTTAAACTCTGGGCGAAAAAATATTGAAACGTAAAATTAGTTAGGCTTAAAGTTGGAGCTAATTTTAATCAAGAAAATAAAATTTTTCGTATTTGCCATTTTATACTTTTTTGTTGAACTATAAATTTCAAATATTTAAGTAGATAAACATTTAACGATATTATTAGATGGATTTTTAATGAGAGATGGAAGTATGACAGAAAATAAGTTATAGATACAAACAGTGTCCGAATTTAATGAATTTGAGCCACGTCCTAAATCCGCAAAAGAACGGGTTCGATTGAGGGCCGGCATAAATCATGAAGCAATGAATTCAATTTTTAGTGAAAACAACCATATTTGAGCCGCGATTCAAATTCTTTAAATTTGGCTCAGGGTGTACTTCAATTTACAATGAAATAGAATGACGTCTATTAGACTCAAGTTATGACTGTAAATAGTTTAATGAGCATGAGACACAGAATATGTGCAGTGTGAACAGACCCATTGCACTTCATTAGTTTTTTAAAAAGTGTACGTTTAGTAAAACTATTTGCTTTGTAACATCATCATATAAAGTCCTTCCCATTTTAGTAATAAGTCTTATGTTAGGCAAGTTCTATATTATGAACAATTTGTTTAAGCAAAGTTTGCACCTTAAGTTTTTCCACATTATTCTCATCCTTGAGTTCATCCATCAGCTGACCATGAATATTCTCTTCCGCCATTATTTTTTCCTAAACAAATATCTGATAAATATTGCGCCAAAATTTTAAATGTTTTCTTAAAAATTAAATATCTTCAAAATTTGTGAAATTCAGGGAATAAGAATAAAGGGGAGGGAAATGACACTATGACACTGGTCTGGCATGAGAAAGCAAGTAGAACTGGTTTGCAGACAAGTTCGTTATTACACACGCACACTCTTTTGATACAGACACACAACATGACTGCAGTCAAGGAAATTGCAGAACAATATCGTCAATTATAATTAAGAATGAATAATGAGAAGTTTATTGTAAACTTTAATCAAATTATATTCTTTGCATGAAAATTTGGCTTGTACTGTACAAATACCTACGGTTCGGTATAATACTTACACACCTTGTACTGTACAAATACCTACGGTTCGGTATTATACTTACACACCTTGTACTGTACAAATACCTACGGTTCGGTATTATACTTACACACCTTGTACTGTACAAATACCTACGGTTCGGTATTATACTTACACACCTTGTACTGTACAAATACCTACGGTTCGGTATTATACTTACACACCTTGTACTGTACAAATACCTACGGTTCGGTATTATACTTACACACCTTGTACTGTACAAATACCTACGGTTCGGTATTATACTTACACACCTTGTACTGTACAAATACCTACGGTTCGGTATTATACTTACACACCTTGTACTGTACAAATACCTACGGTTCGGTATTATACTTACACACCTTGTACTGTACAAATACCTACGGTTCGGTATTATANCATCTACTTTTTTTACTCTACAGAGATTTGGTCCATCACCATCACCGAATTTTAATTCTTAGCTCTTCTGACTTAATTTTACACCAAGATCGATTACTCAAAACTTAAAATACCAATTTGCTAAACTAAAATAAAGGTTATGAAAGGCCGGGGCGCGAGTTTCCCTGAATTTGCCAAACATACCTGTTTTTGCCTAAACTGTTAGCAGTAAAATGGTTGATAAGGAACTGATATGGATCTGCACTCTATACAGCCCTCAAGCCAAACCTCATTTAATATGCTTGATAGCATTTAAACCAGGGATACATATTCTCCATAGAAATTCAACATTAAACCGTCAATTTTTGAGAAGAAAAATATTTTTTTTAGAAAATAATCTTTTTTTCATGAAGACACCAAAATAAAATTCATTGAACGGTTTTATATGTATTATCTAGGGTAGGTTCATGACGATAAGCCATTATATTCAAATTTGTAAGTTAAACTATTAATGAGTATTATTAGTGCTTAATTAATTCAAATTAATTTTTTTCAACGACTTGTAGAAAGTTAAAAAGCACTCGTATGTACTTACACTAATTCTGTTACATTTCCATTTCCAATAACCAAACCAAACCAAACCAAACGAACATATGTTAATTTGTGCCTTCAATTGGTTCGTTTTTCTTTCAGGGTCTAAATTTGACAGTGCATTAAGAAAAGTTATTTTTTTAGCAGAGCCGCCATGAGCCCCGCAGAATGACCCCCTAGCCAATGAAAATCATCTCAGAACCTCACGCTAGGTCTCCGAGCATCTGCAACCTTTACTCCACGTCCAGTATTTTTATCTCAAATAACAAATATTTGAAGTTTACACCCACCAAAAGCATTTTCTTTAAAAAATCTCAACATTGTTAAAATGTTTTTAATAATACATAAACAATTTGTCTTACAAAGCCAACCTTAATTGAGATTAAGATAGTCGACTTTTAAACTAAGCTATAGGTATTTCATTTTGTTACGATCCGAAATTCGTACTGCCGCAGAATTTCTTCTTCTGTGCATCAAGGACATCATTTCCTTGATCCTTCTGCAGACCAGTATCTACCCGTCCCGGGACAAAACCCCAGCAAATCACAGAAATCCAATTTGTATTCATGATTCTTCCGATTTCTCAAAAGGTTGATGAATTCTCAGTTATTTGTACCTAAAATGTCCATCCTAGAGTTTGTTGAGAAGAAATTAGTAAATCCTGTTCAACACTGGTTTCCTAGTTTATGCTGCTAAAATCCAAAAATAAAATTTATGTATTTCTATAAATCAAATGAAACCAATTATAATTATTTAAATATTTAAACTTAAGCAAACCAATAGAAAATTTAAATATTAGAGAATAAGTTAAAAATTAAAAGAAAAAAATAAAGAAATAAAATAAAGGATTTTCTCTGAAACTTTTGAGGGCAGGTCAATCACCTTTTAGAGAGTAGTGTATTTCATATACAGGGTGTCCCACGAAATATGACAGTTGGGGAATAATTTAAAATTTCTTCTATATTTACTTAAGTTGTTTAATTACAAAGAGAATTATAAGAATATTAATGGTATAGTCATATTATAGTAGAATATATTTTAGTAAAAGATTTTATTTAACGATGAAAAATGCAAATAACTATTACAGTATTGGGAAGAAGATATTCCATATTATTTACAAACTGTCATGCTTCATGGGACACCCTGTACAAATCTAACTAAGCTACCTCCGGTTCACGAATCGAAATGGGTTTTGTGAAATACTAAAAATAAAATACAATAAAAGCACAAAGATTTAAGTATTTTACAGAAACTAATATGTTTTGTGAATTGGTGCTTATACCACGGTGGACTAAGCCAGTGGGGTCGGTCAAATAGGCCTAGGATTAGGCCGGGTACTGTAAAAAGTCTGAACGCGCCATGGGAATTGTCATAGTTAGCCCTCTGACCGGACTATGCCAAGAAAATTGACCCCTGTCGTATGTCAGTCTGGCTAGGGCGACGTACTTACAATAGGATCGGGTCAGTACACGCTGTTATCTAGCAGGCCGGTACAAACTGGGGAGGTCCTGTTCAAACTAAAATTTACTACGGCCCAGAGTGATACGGTTAGATTGTAGATGCACCTGTAAAATGGTATAAAATTTGTCTATCTGCAACAGTTTTTTTGATCATGTTAAGATATTTTCGATGCAAGAGTTGTGGAGACTCAGAGACGTAGCGTGAGACACGTGGATGATTTTGATTGGCTAGGAAGTCATTCTGCAAATCTGGAGGCTCCGGAGATGATTTTATGTGGCTCATGGCGGTTCTACGGCCCCCCTCCCCTCCACTTACGGTCCTTTTAAGTCGAAATATGAAGAATATTGAATGATTATTGATTAACTTGACATTTCACAAATATAAGGATATTTCTGGAAAACCAGACTCAAATCCAGATAAATCAGGAATTCATCGTATATCGAAAGGTTTCTCCAAACAGGAATCTCTAGATCTGCTCCACTAACCACCTGTCGCCTTAGCTTTCTCCCCTAATCAAAAACAATGGATGGATTTTGAAATTTTCAATTTTTTCTTGTTCAAAAAAAAAAAATAATACTCCTTTCGTAGATTTAGTCTTTATTTGAAAGATGAATAAGAAGATAACAGTTAGAACGATACTTTAAAAATTATGCAAATATATTACTTAGAAATTTTTAACAATTTAGATTTTATCAAATATTAAAATTTATTTGAAGCATGAGAGAATACACAAATGCTCGATCCTTATCTAGGCTACACAGGCAATAATGCATAAAAAATAGTTAACCCATGTTTATTGACTGATGAGGATCGAGAGATCTGAAACAATTTGTATTAATAAATATGAAAACTGAGAAGCTGTTCTGATTATTGATTAGAACGATACTTTAAAAATTATGCAAATATATTTCTTAGGAATTTTTAGTAATTTAGATTTTACTCTTATCAAATATTAAAATTTATTTGAAGCAGAAGAGAATACACAAATGCTCCTTATCTAGACTAAATAGGCAATAATGCATAAAAAATAGAATATATATGGATATGTTTTCAAATCACAAAAAAGTCAAAAGATATGAAGTCTGAGAAGAATCTTAAAAATAAATCACAACTAGATCTTGTAAAAAGATAGTAAAAGTTTTTAAATGTCAGAATTAGAAGATTTTGGAGGGAGAGGAGGTGGTCGTCTTCGTTCCACTGTACGTTGAAGAAGAGGGGGGCCGGGCCGGGTTGGAGATTGAGATGGAGAATGTTTCGGGGATTTGTGCGAAACCCTTCTCGGTAGGGAGGGTGGTCGAACTGGGCCTGACAAATTATTAATGTTTTGTGAAGGGNAAGAAATGCTGTAGGATAAGGGTGTAGGGGGACAGGAGGAGGGGTTGATTGAATAAATAAGTTGAGAGAACAACTTGATGTAGAGTTTTCATCCGTTCTACTTGATCTAAAATAAATGCATAAATTCTTTCCTTTAATTGAAAATGATTCTTATTAATTTAAATTAATTGATTAGCTATACAGGATTACCCACAAAAAATGGAGCTCTTAATGACCAATATAAACTATTTAAATATTAAGATTTTAAGATACAATTGGGTGTTCCACGTTCAAAAGAATCTTTAAATGACTTTATTGATGATTCACTATACATACAAAGACATAAAAAGCTATGGTAGTTTAGTTATGAATGTAAGAGTTACGAATTTGATAAAATTCTGTAGAATCGTCTCTAAAAATCTTATTCTTTCTGGGCACCCTGTAATTTTTTTCCTACCTGAAGCTATTACGAGGGGGTAGTGGAGGTGTTCTATCTGAGTTCAAGGGTAGAGATGACGGTAGGTGAGTGAAGGATAAAGAAGAGGAACTAGAACGTTTAGAGTTCTCGTATACGCTGGAGTTGGACAAATATCGTCTTCCCCCTTGGTTGGTCAAATTCTTTAATTAAGAGAAGAATTCACAGATAGAGATGAGCATCGTTTTTCTTTGAAAGAAACAACAGATGAAAAATGACCGATAATTTTGAAATAATGTAATCATTTTATTTAAATGGTTGAAAATAAAATCCCACGTTAGTAACTGGAAGGTACACTTTCCATGATAACTTAAAAACTTAAAAGCGATATACTCAATATGATGCTTGATAACATACTGTACTGTACTGTACTGTACTGTACTGTACTGTACTGTACTGTACTGTACTGTACTGTACTGTACTAAGTACTACAGTACAACAGTACAACAGAAAAACCATGAGACTGGTTAAAATTTACAAGAATTGCTTCTAAAAAAAATTTGAATTGTTTAGAACAATTTGACAATTTCCTCTAAGCTCGACCCCTTCGTCACTATCAGTTCTAGAACTTTCATTGTCTTCAAGCGTGAGACCTAAACATCAGTAAAATTTCTTTAATACTAAAGAAAAATTAAATTGGCGGATTTGCACATTTAGCTGAGAACAAATTTCAAAGTTTCATCGAATCTTAGTTTATGAAAAAAATAACTTGATGTAAATTTCTGTGATTTAAAAAAAACAGAAATCCCATTTGGAGGTAATTTTAAAGAATTGCATTTGCAATTTAAATATAAAAAGTTTTAGGTTTTCAATCATAGATAAAAATTAGTGAGTTGTAATCCGCAAAGTGTAATAAAATACAGAAACATTCAAGTAATTTATCGATTCCTTTAAACTTTAATACAGGGTGTCCCAATAAACATGGGAATTAAATGACGACTTCTATATCGTCCTTGCTCCAAGTGGGATTATTTCGAATGTATAATTTTGCAGTATCACAGATAAAACATTTAACACCGAAAATTACTTGGGATTTTCAAAATGTGGTCTACCATTTTTCATCGTCACAATGGAAGGAGATATTAGGAAATTTGTCCAGACTACAGATTATTATACATCATCAAACTGTTTAAATGTTTAATATCTCCGTCAATTTTTAGGATACAAAGAAGGTAGACCACATTTTGTAAAGCTCATAAGACGTTCAATGTTTTTTGATGCACTTAATGTCATTTAACCATTATCGAAACTCAAAGACGATATTCAAGTCGTCTCTAAATTCCCATGTCTATTGGGAACCCTGCACCTGAATTTATCAGGGGCGAAATATCTTGATAGTTCGCCACAGGAGAATACACATAGTCGTTAGTTCCTCCTATTCGTCCATAAAGAGACGATTCATCCAGTCCAGATCGTCCCTCATGCAGTCCAGAAATGGGGGCATACAAAGATGGACCAGGACTCCATTCCGTTTCCCCAGGAATAGGAGGAAGTGGCGTATTCACAATCCTAGAGAGTTAGAATATTAGGATGCGAAATCATATGACAATGTCTAATGCATGAAAAGAAAGTTAGTATACGTCTTTGATGAAATCATAAGCCATGCACTTGTATCAGTTGTAATTTCCTTAAAAACTTTTTCCAATTTGGGTGGATATAATTATTGTTCCAGATATATTCAATTTGGGTTGTTAATGATCATTGAAAGAGCTTTTGAAAGGTTTGACATGAAACGATTTAAGGTAGAACCAGCTATTAGAAAACAAGAAAATAATAGCATGAAGTTAACTTTTCGAAAAATAAATAAGTTTGTGTGATAAATGATTAATTATCATTGATGAATGAGAAGTTTATAATAAGAAACTGTAACTACCTGGATGTTCTATTGGATCTGGGAGACGGAGAGAAGGAACTACAAAACTCCATCTCCGTCCTCAACGTAGAGAACACCTCCACCAGTCTCTGATGAAGAGGTTGAACTGGTTCTGGAGCTAGTTCTCCATGGAGCTGTAAACCATCCTGGAGTAGAGAAACCTGCTCCCCGATATATCCGGCTAGTGTCTCCAGGACATGGGTATACTTAGGGTTCTCCTCGGAGAACGTATCAGTGAAGAATGCAGATTTGTACTTGGCAAAACCACCGTTAACAGCAGCATCAATGTTGCCCTGAAGACGCATTGTGAAAGGCATCACGTTTTCCGATCGGTTGGTTGAATACTGTGCAATAAATTTGCGCAATTCCGCGTTTTTACAGGATACAGACTCACAGGCGTACTCAACCGGGCTAATTTGGGAGACACTAGTCTTGGATATTTCAAACCATTTCAGTATTCCGGGAAATTCACTCATTGTCTCATATCGGTTTCTTTCGATCCATAATGTTTTAAATTCGTTATTCTTGTCAATCTCCCCTTTATGGTAGGGACGATCATACTGGAATGTTCTTATTTGGTTAACAGCATAGAAGTTTTTAACATTTTGTGGGACTTCTGGCCCGAAATAGGTGCCAGAATCTTTTGGTAAAGGTTTTACAGAAACTATCAGTATATGTTCTCCATCTTGATTTTTTAACTCTTCCACATTTTCAGAAGTTTTTCCACACAAGCGCGCTGTCGGAAACTCACGGAGAAGTCGCGTTGTAAATTCCCCTATTTTTTCAAACTCTAGTCCTCGGTAAACAAACTCCTTGTTCCGAACAAAATACGGAAAAGAAAGCCCGTAAAATCCGACTTTAAAGTATTCTGAATCTGGTCGAAATTCTGAGATTATCTTGCTGTAGAAATCAGCCATTTGCCTAAAATTAAAAACTACATTAAAAAATACGAATAAATATGTTTATTTTTTATTTTTACAATTGTTATAAATGTTACGAACCTGAAAAGTGCAGAAAGTTTTACATAATCATATGTTCTCTTTTCATACAGATCTGCCAATTCTTTACATAGTGGTATAGTTGGTTCCCATAACCTAAACATTATTCTTTACATAGTGGTATAGTTGGTTCCCATAACTAACATTTTTTTCTTTACATAGTGGTATAGTTGGTTCCCATAACCTAAACATTATTCTTTACATAGTGGTATAGTTGGTTCTCATAACCTGAACATTATTCTTTACATAGAGGAATAGTTGGTTACCATAACCTAAACATTATTCTTTACATTGTGGTATAGTTTGTTCCCACAACCTAAACATTTTTCTTAGTGGTATAGTTGGCTCCCATAACCTCGTTATTCTTTGCATAGTGAAATAGTTGGTTCCCATAACCTCATTATTCTTTACATAGTGGTATAGTTGGTTCCCATAACCTAAACATTTTTCTTTACATAGTGGTATAGTTGGTTCCCGTAAACTAAACATTTTCCTTATAAAGTTGTATAGTTGGTTCCGGTAACCTAAACATTTTTCTTATAAAGTTGTATAGTTGGTTCCCGTAATTTATTTAATAAGGTACTTTGGAGTATTCACACATGGAATCATCCATGTATTTTGTGTATATTCATCTTATCATTCAAAGTAAACATGGATACCATCACACAGAATCATCAAAGTGAACAACTTATCCTTTTACATAAAATCCTCCAAAGTGTACACTAATCCTCTTAAACAGAATAATCCAAAGTGTACAGTGAAACTCTCACATAGCATCATTCAAAGTGCACTGATCCTCTCACATGGAATCATTCAAAGTGCACTGATCCTCTCACAGAGAATTGTTCAAAGCGTACACTGATCCTCTCACATGAAATCATTCAAAGTGCACTGATCCTCTCATTTAGAAACAGTCAGAGTACGCTGATTCTCCTACATAGATTAAATCAAAGTGTACACTGATCTTCTCACATCAAATCATCCAAAGTGTACACTAATCCTCAAACTTAGAATTATTTCAGGTGTACACTGATCCTCTCACAAACAATTATTCAAAGTCCACTGATGCTCTTTCGTAGAATCATTTAAAGTCGCTGATACTCTCACATACAAACATTTAAAGTGCATTGATCCTCTGACATAGAAACATTCAAAGTGCAATGATCCTCTCACATAGAAACATTCAAAGTGCACTGATCCTCTCACATAGAAACATTTAAAGTGCATTGATCCTCTCACATAGAAACATTCAAAGTGCATTGATCCTCTCACATAGAAACATTCAAAGTGCACAGATCCTCTGACATAGAAACATTCAAAGTGCACCGATTCTCTCACATAGAATCAAACTGTGTACACTGATCCTCTCACTTAAAATTATTCAATGTGTGCATGATCCTACTGATCCTCAGAATAATTTAATTTGCACACTATCACACTGATCGTCTCACATAAAATTTTTTAATGTGTTCACTGATCCTCTTACATATAATCATTCAATGTGTGCACTGATCCTACAGATCCTCTTACATAAAATCATTCTATGAGTAAACTGATCCTATTGGTTCAAAATTTACACTGATCTTTTCACATACAATCATTTTATGTGTACAGTGATCTTGTCACATAGTATCATTGAATGTGTACAGCATGCACTGGTCCTTCTGATCCTCTCAAATTGAATCATTCCATGCGTACACTGATCCTATTGATCCTGTTACACAGTATCATTCAATTTGTAAACTTATCCTACTGATCCTTTCACATAGAATCATTCATTGTGTACACTGATCCTCTTACATAGAATCATTTATTGTGCACACTTATCCTCTCTTATAGAAGCATTCAAATACCAAGTACCACTCTCTTTTCTGACAAACAAATCTATTGATAATGAGATCGCAACCATGATTAACTTTTCATGTTTTGACTAGAAACTATATTAATATATTTATACTGTATTCTTGTTTTTGTCTTATCATATTCTACCATTTTACTTTTGTGTACGAAATAAATCTATAATAATATTAATATATATAAAGTGAAGTTGTCTGTCTTATAAACTGTTTATATTGCAGACATCACAGTCTTTTAATGTTTTCATAAAATACACTCTAATAGACATATCACAGCCTTTTATTGTTTTCATAAAATAAACTCTAATAGACATAAAACAGCCTTTTAATGTTTTCATAAAATAAAATCTAATAGACATATCACAGCCTTATATTGTTTTCATAAAATAAACTCTAATACACATAAAACAGCCTTTTAATGTTTTCATAAAATAAACTCTAATAGACATATCACAGCCTTTTAATGTTTTCATAAAATAAACTCTAATAGACATAACCCCCTAAAACCCATAGTTTTTACTGGTCCGGGGGTGGGAAGGGGAAGCTGAGCCCCAATAGCCCCCATCTCTACACTATTCTCATGTTTATTGGGACACCCCCAGTACCTGGCAGAATCATATAGGTGTATGATCTGAATATACAAAGCTTCCTTCCTCTGCCACTCCTGCTGAGTCGGGTATCTCAAGTCTGCATGAAGAGTTCTGAACCCAGATTATTCATAATTTTTATAAAGATGATAAATATTGTTTCTGCATTTTCTACAATGAGAATCAGAAAATTCTGAAATAGGAGGACCACATTAAAGCAATACTTTATTCATGTTTTTACAAAGCAAACGTATGAAACCACTAAGTAAATGAAATGGGTCTGTTTACACTGCACAATTACTGTTATCTGTTCATTGGATTATTTAAAGTGATAACTGGAGTCTATTTATCAGATTTCTGGTTACATATTATATTAATTGTTAGGTAAACAAAATATTAAAAATTTAGCTGTATTTGAATACATTCCACACAAAACCAAACTGTTGCTCTTTGGCATTTGTCAAATTGTCATGTGCCATACAGTGAGACCCGTAAAACTGTGAAATAGGAAGAAACATTTTACAATCTTAAGCATAACTTCCTATTCGTATTCCTATTCCACAGTTTTATGGGCCAAAAAAGTCAATTTATTCCAGCTGTTTGACCAGCTATAGCGAACATATATATATATTATATGAGCGAAGAGCTTTTATTTTATAAATAATCTTCCTGGTCGTCCAATCTAGAAGATTAGCATGAAGAAGAAGAGTAGCTGCTGCTTCAGCAGGGTTACCAACCAGGAGATGAAGCTGCTCAAGCTTGTAGATGTACCTTTAATGTCATTACATTTTAAGAGACTGGTGACGGTATTTCAAGCGTCCTATCATTTGTGGTGGCATGTCTTATTTACAATGGTACATTTAAAAGCTTTGTGTGAGCAAGAGTTAATAAGATATCCTTGTTTTTTACTTTTTTGTTGACAATTCTGTTTCTACATAGAAGTGACTTGCGGTTTTCTGCTGAAGAAACAATTGAGAAGATTACAAGAGTTTCAAAGGGATAGCACATATAAGTATATTTCACTTTATCGATCAAAAGGTTCAAAGGGAACTGTTGTCAATCGGGCATATCACTCTTTAAATGGAGGGTCGTGTGAACATTGAACAACAGTTCCTCTAAAGAGAAATTACTTTCTTTTCTAGGCAACTTAATTTTGCCTGGCTCTCCACACTTTGCTTCTTTAAAACCGTAATCATGGTGCGGTTTAACCCTGACTTCTGCGGAACGATGGTTGATCATTTTATTTATTTATTTATAACCATCTAATTTTCTATTCAAACAATGTTAATTTCAACTTATGCCAATTCAAGTATACGCATAGTTCCACTTCTATAACGCATTAGAAGTGGAACAAAATTATTAAAATCTCACCCAACTATGCAATTTCTAATAACAACAATAATTTTTGAATTTTTTAAGCATCAATCAAGAATCTTTTTTAACAGAAACACACCTCAATAAGTAATTAATGACATTTTGACATTATTTTTTTAAATACCGCAATTTTTTTTTATTAAATTAAGATTAAATTAACTGGTTTTTTATTATCTAAAAAATAATCTTTTTTACATCTGAAGTCTTTTTCTGTGTTTTGAACACTGTTGCCGTTCCATTTTGATGAGCTCCGGGTCATATTCAGGGGCGAACATGGGTTGGAACAATTGTGCTTCCCAAGTACACTTCTAAGGGGTACAAATTTAGGGGGAACAAACAAAAAAAGTCAGCACCCATTTTAATGTGGCATCTATATTCTAAAAATATGTTTTACTTGTCTGTCTGGGACCTGGGTGTATGCTAGTTTGGCTGTTTGTATCCTATAAACGTCAAAACGGCTGAACCGATTGGGAAGGTTTATGGATGCATTGCTCAGAATTACAAAAAATCTGTCTCCAAAATTTTTAATTCTCGATTAATTTTGAAAATCCACGAAAAAATTGTAAATCCGTTAAATTTTTTGTTTTTGTTTATCAAAGAGAAAATGCTGATAGACTAAGCAACAATTAATAGTTGAAATAGATGATGGGCGCGAAGCACCCTGATAGCCTTTTCCTTTTCTACCTGATATACATCTCCTGCCTGTTGAAATCGTCCCGGTAGAACTGTAGTAGGTTAAGGGTACACGATAATCTCTTATTTATGTTCTCCTCCCCCTGCAGTACACCTCTATAGTCTAGTAGGCGTTCCAGGAGACGGGATACAGAACCAACAAATACCTAGATACAAGCAGGGGTCACACAATACATAGCATTGGTTGCATGCAGCTTAAATAACACAATGTGTATTATGTATCATACCTCATTTATAGCTGTATATATTAGGGTGACATACGAAGGGGGTTAAAACAATTTTTGAGGTGCATCTGCATACTGCATAGGTTTTTGGGTGATGTTTGGGCTCAATATGAGCTATTTGTGAAAATTTCAGGTTTTCGGTTTTTCGGCAAAACCTTGATTTTTGATGGAGGTCAATAACCTCCAGTCTCAAATTTTCTTTGTGATCATGTTAGATGGCGACAATTGGAGGCTGTATCCAAAAAGTCAGCTTTTTATCTTAATTTTTAAAATCAAATGCAGTCAGTAAACAATTTGGTGTCACAAAGGGGATGGTGGAGTTGGCACATTTGATGTAGGGGGGGGGGCCCTGCCTTCATTTTTGGTTCAAATCTTCCAATTTTTTGGGTGCACGCCTAATTAGTGATCGAAATTCATAAAATAAAATCAAATTGAATTTTAATGACCTCTAATGACCTCTAATGACCTCTAATGACCTCCACAAATAGAAAATATTTCAACTATGGCTTTATGCACATCAAACGAAAGCTAGGGACCCAGGGAATACAGTAGCAGCAAAAAATCCAGTGTTTGACCTTCTAATGACCTCTTACGACCTCTAATGACCTAAATGACCTCCAAAAATGAAAATGTTTTAACTATGGCTTGATG